TGTCGGATGGGGAATCGGCAACGTCGGGAGGAGAAGCAGTTGCAACATCTGCTTGTGTCGGACGAGACCATCGGGATTGCCGACCCCGCAAAATACCTAGGTAGATATGCTTAGATGTATTGCGCCAATGAATTTGCAAACTAAATAAGTACACAGTAGTACCTAGTCGTTAGTTATCTCCGATCCTGGTTTGGCTTGGACTGTTGGGTTGACATGCAGGGATAGCGCCGATAAACCTGGGGAAAGCAGAGTCCCCTTTTCAAATACCATTACGTTTTGAGTCTAGTGATTGTTATTATCCGCGCCGTGCTTTGAACTGAGTTCCGTATTTTTCCTTATCAAATTTGCAGTTTTCGCCATCGACGCAATGTCTCAATGTGACCAGTTAGTTGACAGGCATATAACATCCGCATTTTGGCGCAAAGGAATAAATCACCATCGACTTGCCCACTTGTATCCAAGAATCTTTTTTACCCACGCACGCTGTGACAACAAAGCCATATCGACCACAGTTGGGACTGCAGTAGTTGAAACCGGCTAAAAAGCAGCTTTTGGATAAGACTATGAATGCCTTCAGATTCCAGAACACATCTAAACCGGCTTTCGATCACGCCTGTCAAATTTTGAGTAAAGTCGTGTAGCGACCACCTAGGGCTTTGTGTAACACGCAGCACTGTCGGACTACATCTGCAGAAGCAGTCGGATATCAATGCGTACATAGTCTCCCTTGCACCTCGCGGCATTTGCCATGCCACAGCGAAGCAGGCACCATGGACTACGCGACAAAGTTACTCGAGCTTCCCATTTGGAGCGCTGGTTCTTATCCCGAGGACGGCAGTCCCTCCGAGCACATTCGAATTTCTCACGAGCGAGCAAGAAGTGTTGTCCAACATGTAGGAATGACAACCAAGGACATTGCGACACTCAGTCCCAAATTTCGCGACTTCCACACAAACTGTAAGTAATACATGTCAGGCGCACGAACCAGCAGAAAAGCTGGCTACCGTTAACGTAGTACAGTCCTCGGGACGGCTGACAGTGCCGTCGCGACGATTCTCAGCACCCACTGGAACCTCTGCATGGGAACTATCGCCGCATACGCTGAGGACCATCCGGGTTCGTCGTACACGCGTCAAGTCCTCCTGGAGCTCCAGGAGTTTCGATCCGTTGGCGAGTTCATGCTGACCGAGGTTGCTCGTGGCTCCGATGCGAGTAATCTGGAAACTACCGCCACTTACAACCACGACGGATCCTTTGATTTGCATACCCCAAACCCAATGGCAGCAAAATCTATGCCCCCGACCTCCCCGGAGGCTGGGATGCCCCGGATTGCGGTTGTCTTTGCGCAACTCGTTGTGAATGGAGAACACAGAGGAATCCGTCCCTTTATCGTGCGTCTTTGCGGCGCTGACAAAATGGCTCCAGGGATAAGTTCACGCCTGTTGCCCCGTAGAAATGGCCCAAAATACGTTGATCATTGCATCACCATGTTTAATCATGTCCGGCTAGAGCCGGCGGCGCTCCTGGGAACTTTGAACGCCGCCAAGGACCTACGCGGAGAAGTTTCCCGCCAAGTACATCGCCTGACAGTCGGGGCATTGTGTTTGGCCATGGGATCTATTCCCATCCTTAGAGTTACAGCCTTCGTGTTGGGGAGATACGGCCAGCGTCAGCACGCAGCAGGTCCAAAGTTGGGTGAGAAAGTGCCCAAGGCGTACTTTGCTTCACAGCATGGCCCTGCCTTGGTAGCATTGACATTGTCATCCGTTCTAGAAGCCTACGCAGCAACAGTTTGGGAGGAATTCTGCTGGGAAGAGCAGCCCCAGCTTCGCGATGGCCTTGCCTGTATCTTTAAGACGGCCGCAGCCATCGATGGCCAGTCAGTCTTGACAGAGATGACTGACAGGTGCGGTTGGCAGGGCTTGTATACGCACAACCAGATTACAGAGCTGGCATCTTCGTTTCGTGGAAATTTGATTGCCGAGGGTGATTTTTCACTTGTGTGTAGTCGTAAGTATAGCATGAAGGTGCAATTGGCGTTGAATGTCGGACTGTGCAACATGCTAAGGCAGACGGTAAATAGGACTTGTTTCGGAGCTTCTTCTTGGGCGACAAAGCATACCAAAAGCCAGAAACCCGACATCACTGCTTGCTAAACATGAGTACGGCGTTTGGAAGGAAGCAGCATGTCAGGCAAAGGCCATTTTGAGCACAGACGGTAGCAATCGTGACGACATGTTCAACGCAATGCTTCTTCCGCGATGTCGAAAGCTGGTCCTCGCCATCGGGCACAGGATGGCATACGAAGCCGCGGTGGACTCGAGTAGGGTGCCCATTGAAATGCTTCGGCTCTATGAAGCAACTTGCATGTTGGACGATCCAGGATGGTATGTTGAGAATACCAAATTCACGTCATCCAAGCTGGACGAGCACCACGCCATGGTTGTGCGTGCGCTTCTCCCTAGTTTGGACAGGTTGCTTGATGAAAGCGGTGCCGCAGCTTGGGTGACATCGCCGATAGTGACTGAAGAACGATGGACCGACTTTGTCGGGAAGCTCCCTGAATACAGCTCAGATGGCTGCAGCGGCAAAAGCAGAAGCCGCGTACGGAACAATAGCAATCATGCCAGCATGTCCGAATCAAACGTTGGGGACTCGGGGGATCCTGATGAATACTCGGAGTTGGAAAAGTTGAGGGCTTCCCAGCCGGTATCCAACCTCGCTTCTAGGAATTGCAATTGTCTGTAAAGGTGGACGGTGGTTTCGTGTGATATCAACGTCTGGTCATATACAAACAATCAAGGGTCGTGGGCTGCGTTGCCAAAGAGCAGTTGTTTACCAAAGATGTAAGCGTTGAAGGAACGGGTGGTATGAACACGGCCAAAACTAATGGAAGGTTACAATGTTGAACCGAGAATTGACAACGGCACAAGACCTCTGTACGTAGCCAGTCCAAAAGCCAACACATTGAGAAGACCACCAACATGAACTAGGAACAGATAGCAGCATGTATTGACTAGTCAAAGGCTGAAGGAATGGAAGCCGTTATTGCAAATGAAATGAGAAGCAACCCAAAAGAAGGCACGATGAGACGTTGACGTTATTTGGAGGCAGATTGAGTAAGACAGCAGGGCCGCAGGTGCCATTGCCTTTGTTGGGAGGATGCTCCTTCCTACTTTACTTATTGATCAATTCTGCTGGCGGCGCTTTTGCCCACGGTACGGTACGGGTAGTTTAGTTCACCGATAGTTGCCCTTCTGGGTTAGGTCATCGGGCGGAATAGAGGAATGAGTGAATGAATGAATGATGGAGTCTATTCTCTAATCTTGCACACTTGAATCGTTTTCCATGATATCAATCCATAACCCCAAACCCAGGCGGGGCAGTTCTTGACCAAATCACTGATCAGAAAGCCGTTTCATTGCAAACAGACACGAGAAACATACTCTAGAGCCTCGGGCGGGTTGAACACGGTGTGGCTCGGTTCGCAGTCTCGCCTTCGACTCGGCCCTTGGCCCTTGACCGGGACCTATCCGTAAGCTCAACTGCGCATAATTTCCTAGGCCTCCTTTGCTGGCTCCTGAGGGTACCGCGCAGGTTTTTTGCTTTTAATACGTGCGTCGTTAATGCATTCCTTAAGTTTAGCTGGCTCAATTATGCCGCCCTGTAAACACTTATTTGCGTAGCATTTACATTCTATTTTCCGCAGCAAAAGGCCTTTACCGCCGTTGTAAACCAACTGATCGCGAGGACAGGCCTCTTCTGCTAGCTTCCCGACCTCCTTTGCTACGTCCTCCTTGCCCTGCGTGCTCGCAGGGGGACCTGCAGCTGGGGCGGCGATTGAGGCGGCGATTGAGGCGGTCGCGAAAGCAGCGACGAGGAGAAGAGGATACTGCATTGTGATGGCAGGATTTAAGTAAAAAATAATAATTGACTTAGGACAATGGATGGTAATGACAAAATTCTTAAACGGCTTTTGTTGAGCAGCTATCAAGTTTTTGCTGGGTTTTGGATTCGGGGTTGGACTTGGAAGGAATAGCAGAGAAAGGCTTTCTATTTATCGAATTTTGACCTCCTCTGTTTACAACTATCTTGCGAGGCGAAAATGCATGCCTGTTATGCACAATCTAGGTGTGCATGACTGTACGTATCAATTGACTAGCATAAGTTGAACGGGACAATTTCGGCGTCTCTGGTAGATTATTATATTAGGGAATTGCTACAAAGGCATGACTTTTACCACTTCTGATTGGTCACACTGTCTCTGTTAACGACGCTGGATTCTGCCACTTTAACCGCAAGTACCTGGGCCATTTCAACCTTTCTTCTGTAACAATTCCCTTATATTAATGCCATAGTTGTTACTCCGTGCATGAGCGAAAAACAGGTATTCTCCCGAAACATGAGTACTGCTATACAAGTGCATAATACCAGGGAATCCATGTAGCCCGAGTTACAATGCTTTAAATAATAAATGAATTATCTATGCTCTGACTCGTGATGCACCGCAAGAATAAAGTAGGATTACGTGAAAGCCACTCCACTGGCATAAATTCTACTCGTGCCACGTCCTAGTGCCACCTTTTCGGGAGCGAGAATGGCGTCATGCCTCGCAATGCAACGAGGCTGTAGATAAAATAATAGTAGCTCAGGCTGTTCATCTGATACTATGGACCTAATATCATGTTCTAGGCCCTCATTGTCTGACACAGATGCTACGCGAGTTGGAGTACTCGGCAGAAATCTGGATCAGGCCTTCCAGGTTGCATTGGAAGGCACGATCCAGGTGGCCGCCAAGGTCAATACTTCCACCTCCCTACCCCATAGCCGACTTTTGGTAACAACATTGAACCTTTCATCTCCATATTGACTCAATTGGGAAACATCAAAACCAAAACATGGTCAACCTCATCTTGGCCAAACAGCTATTGCACCGTGTCGACTTGCCTTTGTCTTGCGTTCTACCATTCTCCCCGTTCTCATCACAACCAGCAGCAACCATGTGCGCGGCAGACACCAATGGCTCATTACCTCGTCCATCTTCTCAGCAGAGGTTGCCATACCAGTCAGTCCAGGACCATCTCTCAGATTTCGGCGTCGAATACATTGAACTCACCTCCCCCGTCGCCTCGGAGCAGTCAAGAATCGACTGCGAGACCATTAGCAAGCTCAGGCTCAAGTCCAAGATCCTGACTCGTATGCCAACGCATATCCTGCGTCTCTTTTCGCCATGTCCACTCGCCAACATCCGCCTTTGGACGTGCCATGTAATCTAGAAGACGCCAAGGCCGCGGTAGCCACAGGCGTAGACGGAGTCGATCTCGTCATCGGAACCGCAAGGAAAAGAGGTCCGATTCTCGTCCGAGGACTCGTTCCGTTCCGATCTAGTCGACCTGCTCTCACTATACAAGGCCGTTGACGCAATTGCCGTGGATCGAGTCCGTGTTGCTGATACAGTTGGATGTGCTACCCCTAGACAAGTGTTTGAACTGGTGCGTACGCTTCGTGGAGTTGTCAATTGCGATATTGAAACCCATTTGTGAGCCATCTCTCTCTCCGCATGATGCTTGATGGCTTCTACTCACCCACAAACAGCCACAACGACACCGGGTGTGCCATCGCCAATGCATATGCAGCGCTGTAAGTTCCGCTCCAACCAAGAAATTCTTGTATGCTTGTATCGTTTGATGACACTGGACAGCGAGGCTGGTGCAACCCACATCGACACGTCTGTTCTGTACGCTTCCCACCGAGTTGCTGCCCCGTTATGATTTCGAAGCCATTTACTGACGGTGATGCAGGGCTGGAATGCCATCAAGTCCCGCTCTGAGCAACTTGGTCTGAGCATGTCTGACGACCAATACAAGATTCTAACTGCCAAGATTAAGCAAATGGCTGATATTAGACCTCTTGCAATCGATGACACAGACTCAATCATCAGAGCCCACCATCACGAGCTGGAAAACCCTGCATAGACTCGCTTGCCAAGTGTGCTGCACAACTCATATGACATGAGCATGTTGTAATAATGTTCGCAGCAAATGATGTATAGAAAGATTGAGCAATACCACAAGTTGCCAACCTCTGACGAAACAGGAATACGAACACGCCTATTGTTGTCCTAGCGAATATATTTGCGTGCTATAAAAGATACACTGATATATTTACTTACCGTGAAATATACACCAATATAGACCGCATCGCAATCTCCAGCCGCTTATACCACCACCGATACCGTATTATATGATCTCGATCGATTTTCTAATTTGCCATCGGAGCTGCAGAAGGAAATAAAAGGCTACGATTTGGTCAAGATGCTCGCTTTGAGGGACACAACAATGGTGGCGTCAAACGACAACATCGTTAAACAAATGAAGCGTATGAATGTAATGTCAGCTACGGCCAGATCCTACGTAATTATCGCACGACTATATTGGGGTCATACTTATCTGCACGACACGTTCAAGGAATACAAGGAAATCTTTTAGAACTAGGAGAATGACCCGGTTTTAGAATTCGGACCAGCTGAAGGAACGATCCTCAAATCGCCGAAGAAACCGCTCAAATCGATCTTGAAAACGGATGGCAAGAAAGATGACAAGGAAGATGGTTCGAAACATGAGCAGCAAACTCGCCTCTTTCCGCCCTTGCCTAGAGACTTGGCCGCCAATGTCTAAACTACCAAACAAACTGTAACCCCTCGAGTAGTTGATATGAGGGCGTAGAAATATACCCGGATATACGCAAGTATACACAAGTATACGCAACTCGTGGGATGACATGAAACGGTCCCATACATGCGTGAAATCAGTCTGTAGCTGCATATACTTATACTCTCAATCGCTGGCTGCCGGCTGTTCTCATCGTCTGCTCACCTTCATCTCAACTCATCATTGCTTTGCCCCTTAACACCTCCCGCATTCAATCAAGGCATCTGCATCAAATGCCATCCTACCTCCCATCTCCAACCTCACTCCTCGGCCCGGTGTTGATTCTCCTCAAGCCGCCACAACTCCCCATCTTCTCAACAGCATGTTTCGAAGCCCAGTATTTCATCTTTTATCTAAACTATATCTGTTAATTGATTGTCAGACTTCACAATCCATCATGAGACGTAAAATCGCCAAACGGCCCCAACCCCCCGTCTCCTCCCTACCAACTCCCCCCAACAAAACGCAAGCCGACTCTCAAGAACCGCCTGAACCTCTCAAACCACCCGCAAATTGCCCCCTCTGGCAAAAAGTCAAATACACAATGGACAAGGAAGACTTCTTCCGGCAGAAATCCAAATCCGCCGAAATCCAAATCAAGCGGCTCAACCGAGAAGTCGACTCCCTCAAAGAACAACTCCAGCGGAAGACCAAAGCCATGGACGCACAAGAACGCAGGCTAGACACCCTCGCAGACACCCTCAAGGAGGCCGAGCAGCGCGCCGAGCAAGAAGCCCGCCGCAGGGACGAGTCCAGCAAGCACCTCAACCAGAAACTACAAGGCAGCCAGCACGAGTCGAAGCGGTACCGGAACGCGCTGGCCGCCGCGTTCAAGCTCATCGACGACTTGAAGGACAAGACGACTCTTGCCGAGCTTCTCGCACAGACGGACCAGCAGCTCTTAAACGGCGCGCCGAAGCAAGAACCTGACACAAGTGCTGCAGCGTCCCCCGAGGACAGCAGCGACGAGAACTATATCCGGAGGCCTGTTACGAGGAAGTACCCCCAACGTGGTATCGCCACGCCGCGTAGGCCCGTGAAGCGCGAGCGCGAGGGGGAGTGGTCAAGCGAAGACAGCGATGAACGGCCGCTAGCTAAGGCAAGGAAGCTTGGCAATAGGATCCTTCGCAACATTACGCCGGATGAATAGCGACCCATGGCGTGGATTCTCGTGATACCGTGTCAAGACTGAGGTTGGAGGTTAGGTTTTGGGGGTTATTTTGCTAGTTGGAAGCCTTGACGGCTTAACCAAGTTTGATGAAAGGAAGGGTTTACGAAGCATTAAAGCGTTTATTTTCGGCATATACAAGCGGCAGGAACCACGGCGGCAAATCAGCAGTCAAAACAGGCGACGAGAAATGTACCATAGAGTTGCGTATCTGTGCTGGTAATCGAAAACATTAGCCGGGCAGCCGGGCCTTTTGAGGAAACCAGAATACAAATGAAAATCACCAAACCCAACCAGTCGCTTGCTTACAAGTTTTCCATTATAACAAGAATGGTTGTGCTAAACGTCTCGAGGCTCCCTTGAAAGAAAATCTTGATACCCCCACCAAGTTGCTGCCGTGAACGCCATTCTCCTCCAATTAATCCATGCCCGTGTACGTGAAATCCTGAAATCCTGCCTCACCCTGCACGGCTACCTCATCCCCCCCAAAGAATCTGTATGATCGAGTCTACTGCTGCCGCTGCCCTACTAAGCCGGAGCTCGCAGCACTCTCTCCAACCTTGACCTCGTCATCAGGCACCCCTACAGCAACACTGCCTGCAGCACTGGTAACGCTTTGTGAGGTCAAACCACGTTCGCGCTCCGGTCGTTGGGGAATAAGGCTATCACGAGGACCGGCAATGCTAACACCACCCGAGGGAGCAATGCTGACGCTGGCTGTGGTACTGACACTGTCGCTTCGAGGGCGTGCAACGTCGGTTGATCGTCGAGTCTGAACCATTCTTTCCAAGTCTCTAATGCGTCTCTTTAGTGTTTCATTTTCCTTCTTGGCCGATTCGAGCTCGTTTCTATAAAATGCAGTTTCTTCATATCTCATGGTTGCGGGCATAAGGCCTGGACTCATTTGGTCCGTGAGGCTTCCGCTGCCAGGGGTAGCGGCGACTGAACTCATAACAACGGACGGCGCGTGCGGAACTCGCTGGCTGTGGAAGTAACTCGACGGATCCAATGCACTTTGCTGAGGACCAGGGGAGTTGGTACGGCTGATTCGTGAGTGCGAGCTTTGTCGAGAGAGCGGGATGGACTGTGCTGGTCGTGGCACGGGGTGTCTGGCCTCGTACGAAGACGCGAGCTGCTGCAAGCCGTGATTCTGGGAAGCAGACGACGAATTGCGGTGGTGTCGACGAGCGGTGGGGATGGTAAAGCCCGAACCGGAGAGGAGAGAGGATTCGGTAATGGGATCGTGAGCTGAGGCCGAGGCAGACGTTGAGGATGCGTTGGAAACCACGGACGCATTTTGAGCAGCCCGGAGGAGGGAAAGTTCACGCGTCAATCGGTTCACCTAGAGAAAGCAAATTAGACCACAATCACGCCAGGGTCGGGCGAATCTTTGGATGAGACGCACTACTGCCTCCTGCTCCTTCTCAAGCTGCATATGCAACTCGGACGCGGTCAACGGACGTGGGTGCCTCAGCGGTCCTGGGCCAGGCCCAACAGACGAATCACCGGATAGCGGCGGCAGTTGAGATTGCAAAGGCTGGGCAGCGATGAGCTGAGGCGAAGCGGACGACGAGGCTCCATGAGGCTGGCTCAAGCTGGCACTACGGCTGTGAGAATGGCTCACGGCATTCTGGTTCGACGGCAGAATATTGATGGACGAGGACTGGGACGGCGACGACACCATGGGATGCGAGAGTGGAGGAGCCATTTGGTGCGACGACTGTTGACGAGAGAGAGCGAGCGAATGCGGCGACGGAGGGACAGAGTTGAGATCGGGCATGGCTTGAAGAGAGCCAGATGCCAACCCTCGGGCAAGAGCACGAGTATGATCAGAAGGAGAGACAACGACGGCTCCGGTGGGTTGGACCTGGCCGCCTCTTGTCTTGCTCAGTCGCAGGGAATGAGAAAAGCAGAGATTTCCACAAAGACAGGGCTGAGCATGAATGAAGAGCAAGAAGAGTTTTTTTTTTGTGTTTTTTTATAGAAAAAAGAGAGCCGTGTAAAGGGAGACGCACGACGTCGTGTGTGTTGGCTGCGTCGTGTCCCGTGTGTCAAGACGAATCGAACGAGCACAAGGAGAACGGTTGTGGTATTCACTGAGAAGACGCAAGTGGGGCCGCTTTCATGTCAATGTTCCAATGTTGGGCCAAGCATTCGGTGCATGCGTCTCCAAGGCCCTGTGCGGAGCGGTGCACCCACTGTAGCCTCAAGCTAATCTTTAGTTAGATGCCATCCGGTCTCAAGGGCGCTGTGGCTGGCACAAGTGCAGCTGACGGACGGCCCGTCTTTGTCGACATCTGGACTGATAACATTGAGCTAGGTGTAAGTAGTTGACTTGACATAAGCTTGCATATGGCGATAAGGACATCAGACTGACGACGCCGAAAGGTGATGTCGCCCTGGCGGTGCCTGCCTGCTGTGGGGCTGCACGATGGACTCGATTGACATAATTCAGCGCTCCAACACAACTATTGACTCCTCATGGCGGGCAATAACAATATCGACAAAGCTGCGCCAATTCGACCGTACCGACCAGGGCTAGCATGAAGCTCATTAGAGCTGAGGCTTCACCGATATCTATGCCACATCGTCCTCAATGCTTCAACGACGACGCATAAATCAGTAATTTGGTGTTTTCAACCCAGTTGCCTCGCCGCAGCCACAGGAGCTTTACAGCATTCAAGTTGATTCACGCTCCGTTTGACTTCATAGGCCATGGCGGCAAAAAGGTCCAACCGGGGGGGGGGGGGGGGGGAACAGACCAGTCTCCTACGCCATTTCAATGAATAACTTGACTGGCAGCACGCAGCGGCAGGCGGCTCGTTTGCCCCGGCGGCTCGCGTATGCCGTCAAGTCCACCAGACTCTCCACAAAACGTCAAGTGACTCAAGTCTAACCCGTCATCTTGACGTGCACACCGTATGTACACCATATCAATCGGCAAACCGGTATAATGTACAATGGACAAACATGACGGCATAGAAGGACGGCCCAGGGGGCCAGAATATAAAAGAAGAGAAATATTGGAATTCCGACAAAAGTCACTTGTGCAAAAGAACCACACACGTCCTCGCCTAGCAAACCCCCGACATAGTACTACCCACCGCACCAGATAGACGACGAGGTTGAAATAACTGCACCATGCCCGAAGGGACACAGTCGCCGCCTCCCGAGCGCCAGACCGGCAAACAGCTGCACGAGCCGCCCGCTAAAGGATCCGGGGTAGATGAGGTCGGCAACAAGGGCGACAAGATGAAGTCTGAGTTGGAGGTATGCTGCACGGCTCATGATATAAAGTCCTCCTTGTACTGCGAAAAACACACTAATACCTTTTTCCCTCACAACTACAGAACCTCTCATCTAATCCCAAGGGACCGATGGATGATCATCTTGAAGCAAAGTTCTCAAAGGAACCGGGGAACCCTGTTGGCGCACATATTCAGAAATGAAGACGCAAACAAGTCACCAGTTTTCTAGTGTAATGCTCGATAAAACTTGAATAAAGGGATAAAAGATACTGTCTCGGACGAGGTAAAGTTTGGTGTGCTAGACTACATATTCTGGTCGTTCGTGTATTGTTCATGCGAAAAGACAATTTCCCACAACGTGCATTCTTAAACTAGCCACTTGATCCTTTCAGCAGACCCGTCCCACACCTAACTCGTCTTTTCATCTACAGGCTTCGTAGCGGGAATGGCCTCGGTAGGCGCTACAGCAGCCGGGGTGGTTGTAGCTGGCGCGCCTCCAGAGGTAGCGGTAGCAGTCGCAGTAGGCGCAGCCGTGGGAGCAGACTCCTTGGGGGCCTCCTTGCCAAAAACCCTCTCCAGCCCGGCGGCCTTGTAAGCGCTCCCACCGTGCTCCTGCTTCTTCAGATCGGCGAGACGTCTAGCCTCGGCGTGAATGTCCTGCACCTGGCGCGAGCTGTCGGTGTAAAACTTGACAATCTTCTTGCCCGTGGGGTGGTTGCTGGCCTTTTCAAAGTAGGAGCCGATGCCGGTGAGAAGGCTGTTGGCGCGCTGCGAGATGCCGTAGCTGGTGTCGGCGGCCTTGGCGCGGTCGGTCGCGTGGTACTTCTGGTCGATGTTCTGGATGGTGCTGAGGAAGCGGTGGGACACGTTGTGCTTGGTGTCCAGTTCGATGGCTCGCTCGATAGCGGCGTCGCCAACGACGTATCCATGAGCGAGATACTCGGCGAGGATGCGAGCGCGGGGCTTCTCCTCCTGCGTGATGTCGTCCGAGTCGCGGTCCACCTTGGCGTCGTGGTGGCCCTCATCATCGGTGGTGCTGCTGGAGCTGGTGACGGAGATGTGGTTCGGTCCAAGCTGGGTGTTGTTGAGGAGGAGGGCCGTCTTCATGGCCGTTTCCTTCTCAAAGGTGACGTCGGCCGACTTGGAGTCGCCCTCGGTAGCGACTTTGAAGTCGGCAATCTTGCCGCTGCCAACGGCGTTAGCCGATTCATTGCCATTCAAACTGCGTCGGGTGTCGGGTGGATGGTGCAAGAAGCTTACCAGAAGCTGAAGAAGTTCCTGACCTCCTCATCGCTGGTCGCGGAGGCGATATTCGTGACGTGGACCGTTGCGGCAGCCATGGTTTTACCCCGCTATCACAGAAGCTTGGGGAGCTGTGCAATATATGGATAGAGCAGGAGCTTTTGTTTTGTGTCTTGTCGCGACGCAGATAATTACGCCAGAAAATAGATATTTTCGAATACCAGCTTCTTCAAAGGTCGGCAAATTTCGTATGATGCCAAACAAGCACGGAGCAACGAGGTTTCAAGGCGAGAAGTCAAGAACCTGCTTTAAGGAGGTGCTCATGAGCGGGGCAAATCGCGACGTCATCAACGACCGTGGCTGACGGCAGTCGCCTCAGCTCAAGGGAGCTCTTGCGTTCAATGTTCAGCTGCTCATGTGTTCGAGTGGCGCCACCAACGTGAAGGCCTCCACTACCCGGCCGTGATGCGCAAGAGCGATCGAATGTGGCAG